ACCCTAAGGTCCGTGGGTCTAGTACGTGATTACATTAGTCTCTACCGGTATGTTTACTAGTCTCCTACCCAACCTCTGCCTAAAATCTAACCCTCACCCTAAAACCCAACTCTGACCCTAAGGTCCGTGGGTTTAATGCGTGATTACATTAGTCTCTACCTGTATGTTTACTAGTCTCCTACTCACCCTACACCTAAAATCTAACCCTCACCCTCAATCCCAATTCTAACCCTAAGATCCGTGGGTCTAATACGTGATTGCATTATTCTCTACCTTTATGTTTACTAGTCACCTACACGCCCTATACCTAAAATCTAGCCCTCACCTTAAAACAGACTCTTGTTAGAAGTGTAGTTGGCACCACACTAGAAACCATTTTGTTCTCTGTCTCACCTCTTTTCCTCTCCCATTCCCTCTCCTACACTTTCGAGAGGGAATTGGGGGAGCCAGGTTTAGCCAACTCCGGCTCAGTTGTGGTTGAGCGTAACTCTACGACACCACTTCTGTTACCTGGTTTCTACCAGTTCCTTTTCCACTCTTCTTTTTCCACTCTGGTTTTCTCTTCTTTTCCTCTTGGTCTCTATTCTGTTCTTCTTCTCGTCTTTTCTTTATTCTGTCCATTCTCTTTTTTCTACTTTGCTCTTTTACTTTTCATTGATACGAACCAACAACTGGAGGGGGGTTCTAGAGTGACACGCGACGGCCCGTGCATTGCCAGTGACTCCCTATTCAACTGTTTCGGTTAATCTACTGATTCAGGGGGAACTCACTGAGATTTATCTACTCTATCTACTCCACCTAACTCTAACCCTGACCCCTTGGGACTGGTTACGGCTATGATAAAGATAACCTGTTTAAATTAAGGATAAACATGTACAGTTATACTGTAACATTATATAGGGCCGAATTATTACACCCGAGCGGGGTCTTCACCACACAGGGGCTGGATTTTACGATTAATTACACTTACATAGGTCCATTATTACAAAGGAAGGCGCTATTGTGTAATATTCTATATGGTAACACATGATACAGGGTAATAATAGATACAAAACTTCTAATAAGTCATGGTCGAATTATCACGCCTGAACGGTATCTCAACTACACAGGGGCTGGATTTTACGATGGCCTACACTTACATAGGTCCATTATTACAAAGGAAGGGGTTATCGTTTATATTCTATACTGTAATATTATATGGGGTAATAACGGATACAAACATTCTAATGCATCATGATGATACTGTCACCCTTTGGACCGGTTAGAGCCATGATAGAGATGACCTGTTTAAATTACAGATAAAGCAGGTACAGACCTTTACTTAGAAGTGTAGTTGAGACCACACTACAAAACATTATGTTCTCCCTCTCACCTCTTTTACTCTCCCATTTCCTCTCCTACAATTAGGAGGAGGAATTGGGGGAGCCAGGTTAAGCCTAGTCCGGCTCAGTTGTGGTTGACCGTAATACCATGGCGCCACCTCTGTTACCTGGTCTCTACCAATCCCCCCCCCCTTTTTCCTTTCTTCTTTTCCTCTATTCTGTTCTTTTTCTCGTTTTTTCCTTACTCTGTTCTTTCATTTTTCTCTACTCTGCTCTTTTACTCTTCGTTGATACGACCCAACAACTGGAGGGGAGTTCTTGAGTGACATGCGGCGGCCCATGCACTGCCAGTGAATCCCTAATTCAAACTGTTTCGGTCAATGGACTGATTCAGGGGGATCTCACTGAGATTCATCCACTCTACCTAACCCAAAAACATCTGGTTTCAATGTAAATATGACCTACAAAATTACCATAGGAGGATCAAATTAGCCCTATATTATAAAAATAAACCCAATCTGAAAGGCCAGAAAAAGCCATTCACAATTAGATCTAATTGGACATCAGCCATGGGGCTACTCCCACCTGAAACAACTAACCTGATTAACTCTGACACTGAGAGACTCAAAAAAGTGGCATACAGGCCTCCATCCACCAATAATCTTAACTTGGAGGAAAGAAAAGCGATTAAAGAGCTAGCTGACAATCCGGACATAGACATAAAACCAGCGGATAAAGGGAGTGCCATCGTAATTATGGATAAAAGCCAATATTTAAAAGAAGGATACAGGCAATTAAGGGATAAAGTTTATTACTCTAAGCTCACAAAACCAATTTACCCAGAAACCAGACCGATGGTAACCCAAATTGTCAATAAATTAAAGGAAAAAAGATTCATAGATGCGAAGCAACATACTTACCTGCTGGGTTCCTCCCAACCGAGGGCAAGGTTATTCTATATGCTGCCAAAGATCCACGAGGATCCAGCTAAGTGGAGCACACCGTATGAGATCCCTGCAGGGAGGCCCATTGTTTCAGACTGTGACAGCGAAACTTACTACACAGCTGAATCCATTGATTTTCACCTGAATCCTTTGTCCAGGAGACATGAGTCATACATTAAAGACACGTAGGACTTTGTTGCTAAAATTAAAAGTTTGAAATTACCAGAGGGTGCCATCCTGTTCACAATGGATGTTGAGAGTTTATGTACCAATATTGACATCCAGGAGGGGCTCGATGCAATCAAGAGAGCTTTTTTCAAATATCCAGACAGCAGACGCCCCGACAGAGAGCTGTTACAGCTGCTTGAAATTAACCTGAGAAGGAATGACTTTGAATTCAATGGGGAGTGGTTTCTGCAGATTAAAGGTACGGCAATGGGCAAGAAATTTGCCCCGGCTTATGCCAATATTTTCATGGCAGAATGGGAAACAACTGCATTGATGAAATGTGACAAGAAACCTTCAGCATATTACAGGTTTTTGGATGATGTCTGGGGTGTTTGGCCACATGGGGAACAGGAGTTTGAGGATTTCCTGACAACTCTGAACAGCCACAACCAGTCAATCAAACTTAAGGCCCCAACAAGCCCTGATTCAGTGGATTTCTTAGACACAACCACATTTAAAGGGAAGGATTTCAGCTCCTCCCACACATTGGATGTTAAAGTCTTCTTTAAGCCCACTGACACTCATGCTTTGCTCCACAAAACAAGCTTCCATCCTAAACACACCTTTGCTGGCATAATTAAGTCACAGCTGCTGAGGTTTCGCAGAATCTGCACACAGAAGAGTGATTTCCAGGCCAAGAGAATTCTATTCTCCGCTTTGTCCACCAGAGGGTACTGTCGTACCTTTTTAAGAAAGGCGCACAGAACGTTTTTGGAGAAAAAACCTATTAATGTCACCACAATTACCCCTTGTGATCCCATATACACCACAAATGTTGGGCTGCATCAGATGTGTCAAGAGGAATTTTCAGACACTGGTCGAAACAACAAGGATGCTCACAGATCATGAAGTGCTGGCTGCCTACAGGAGGAACAAAAATCTGAAAGACTATTTAGTTAAGGCTAAACTAAAGCCGACAACCAGAACCAAATCTAGAGATTTGGGGGAATTTTTCAAGCACAAACAATGGATCTGATGTGAAGCCTTTTGAACCAACAAAGCTTTACAATCCAATTGTATTGAGAAAAGGTTCAAGGTTCGATGCTTCAAAACTCTATGAGGACATCTGCTGGTAAATGTTTGTATTTCATTGTATTGTCAGCCAATTCTACTGAAAATGAATGGTGTATTGAACTTTATGGACAAATAAAGCATTAAAAATCTTCCTCAGGATCATATAATAGTATCTTGAATTTGAACATTACAGTAAATATACTAAAATTGCTTTTCTTGGTGTGAATACTTGAAATGAAACCATGTTTATTTTTATGGGATACGTGATGAAATATATCTAATTTACACATATTAACATTCTCTACATATTCAAATATTTTACTTTTCACATTTCTATTGGATTATTAGGCAGGAATAATTAGCTCAATTTATGTATCTTTTTTAGAAATAGAGTAACAAAATGAAGATTAGAAAATTCACATAAGGATAGGACATACTAAATTCCATTACACGTACAACCAAACTGAAAAGCTCATCAACTATTATATTAATTACCAATAAAAGAAGAAAAATCATACCAAACTAGATTTTAATTTAATTAAAGGAAAATGACAGACGGTCTAAAAGATATAGCCCTACAATATGCACCAAGTATTACTACTATAAAGGTAATTTACTAGACTAGACCAAATACATTTTCAAACCTTATTTGGGGAGATTAAATTGAAACATTCCCACATCTCAGAACGCCCTCTTTTTGCTACAGGATCCATTTTTGCGACTCGGTGTTTTATCACTGAATACTGAATCCTGAACCGTCAATCTCAGGTCATACAACTGTATGGCAAGCCAAATAAGCATTTATTCTGATATCAGGATGTCAGCCAGAATTGTCATGAACATGTAAGCCATTTCTGTCCACTAGTTAACTAGTTAGCCATGTTTGTGTCAACTAGTTAAATATCGAGGGTGAAAATGTGCCCACTAGTTAACTAGTGACAGCAGAAATGCACACTAGTTAACTAGTGAACACATTTAGGCTTCAGTAGTTAACTAGTTGACACAAAAACTGCTCACTAGTTAACTAGTAAAAGCAGAAATGCATACCAGTCAGTTACTTGAAGGTATTTGTCTCACTAGTTAACTAGTGAGGGTCAAAATGTGCACACTAGTTAACTTGTGGTAGACATAAATGCGCACTAGTTAACTAGTGAACACACTGAGCAATACTAGTTAACTAGTAAGATATGAAACATTTAACTAGTTAACTAGAGAGAATTTAGGCCTTACTAGTTAAATAGTGACTTACTAGTTAACTAGTTACATTTAGGCTGTCACTATTTAACTAATTGACACAAACATGGCTAACTAGTTAACTAGTGGACAGAAATGGCTTACATGTTCATGACAATTCTGGCTGACATCCTGATATCAGAATAAATGCTCATTTGGCTTGCCATAAACCTGCGCCTCTCGGTTTGCATTGCTTTAAATGTTTGAAACAACGTGTGAAGCGGTCACGTGGGTGGAAGGGTGAATGAAGCATCGGCTGTGTCTCAATTCAGGGTCTGCATCCTACCTCGGCCGGATTCGTCGGCCGGTTACGTCACAGCGCCGCGACTCGGCCTGTCCCAATTCGAAGACTCCTTCAAATGCGGTCGACGAATGCGGCCTTCTTTTCGCCTGAATGAAGGATGGGTCGGGTGTATCCTTCAATAGGTAGCATTTCCCAAGATGCCTTGCGGGCCGGCCGGCAGAAAACTTAAAAACAATGGCGGACAGTGAAGCGGGAGCTGTCGGAGAGGATTGCGCATATAAATGTAAGTATAAACTTGAAAACTGTCAGTTTAAGGACTTTTTGTGATACATGAACGTTATTTTAGTTAGAAATGTTACAGTAAAAGTGCTTGTATTGCGGTCTCGGCTCGTATGTTCGGCCGCGCTCGGTGTCGTACTTCTCCCGCTACGTTTCCCCCTGATTTTAATAGAAGTTTGTATTTTAGGACCAAAAGAGAAAACCAGGGAATTTATTAAGCTTAGGGCGGAGATGGACCACATGATCACCGGAGCAAAGTATTCGGCGGCTGTGGCATGGAGGTACAATAACATCTCATATTTTAAAAACTCGTTTGAGTTTATTTTTTTCTGCGAAAACATGAAAGGAATAACCCGTTGTCCTCTTTTCTCTTCCTGTTTCTTTTCTTACATGTTTGTTAAGACTATTCTGGAGAAAATGGGCATCCAGGGGAAGGTGCCAGCGATGAGCTTCTGGAGCTGATCTGGGAGGACATGAGGCTGCAGAGCAGCAGAGAGCACAGGAGAGAAGGAAGAACTTTGACAGCTTTTTACTTTGCTAGAAAAAAATGTTTAATGAAGATTAAACATGTACATGTAAAAGAAATATCTAAATAAAATCAGTTCTGCATTAAACTCTTGAATTTTATTTTTGTTTACAAATGAGAATTGTTTACTAGAGGGTATCCGCTGGGTCTTGAAAAGTCTTAAAAGGTGATAAATCGGTTTTGGTCAAAGTAAGACCCTTAGAAAGTATTAAAAACTATTATCACATCTTTGCTCAGGCTCAGCTAGTCTAAAGTATTTTCTCTGAATTAGCTCTCCAACAGTCAAGGAAATGATTAACCCCCAGAGACCCACGGTTGTAGTATCACAACATCAGATTTAAGTCTACAAAAATAAACCTTCCCCATTTTTTTTCTTTTTAAAACCACATTTACATTGCTAATAGGTCCTATTGTTCAGTTCTGCAACACTATTGGCTGTTAAAATGTGTAAATAGGCCCGTTTATCTGGCCTCCTAGAACAACATGTGAAAGGTTAAAAATATTTTGCAGTTTTCTAAATTTGGGTTTCTGGGGGTTAAAAAGCTAAATAAAACGTCGAGCTCCATCGTTTAAGGTTCCTTCTGCCCAGCGGTTCCACGGTTGCTAGGCGACGGAACGTTCGCCGAGGGAGTTCATGAAGGCTAGGCCTGTCCAAATTCACAGCCGTTAACATCCGGTCTACCCGGCCGACGGAGGACGCAGCCCACGTCGGCCGGGTGGGCTGGGTCCTTCGAAGGATGCAGACCCTGAATTGAGACACAGCCATCGGCTGTGTCTCAATTCAGGGTCTGCATCCTACGTCGGCCGGTTACGTCACAGCGCCGCGACTAGGCCTGTCCCAATTCAAAGACTCCTTCAAATGCGGTCGACGAATGCGGCCTTCTTTTCGCCTGAATGAAGGATGGGTCCGGTGTATCATTCAATAGGTAGCATTTCCCAAGATGCCTTGCGGGCCGGCCGGCAGAAAAACTTAAAAACAATGGCGGACAGTGAAGCGGGAGCTGTCGGAGAGGATTGTGCATATAAATGTCAGTATAAACTTGAAAACTGTTAGGTTAAGGACTTTTTGTGATACATGAACGTTATTTTAGTTAGAAATGTTACAGTAAAAGTGCTTGTATTGCGGTCTCTGCTCGTATGTTCGGCCGCTCGGTGTCTAACTTCTCCCGCTACGTTTTCCCCCTGATTTTAATAGAAGTTTGTATTTTAGGAACAAAAGAGAAAACCAGGGAATTTATTAAGCTTAGGGCGGAGATGGACCACATCATCACTGGAGCCAAGTATTCGGCGGCTGTGGCATGGAGGTACAATAACATCTCATATTTTAAAAACTCGTTTGAGCTTATTTTTTCAGCGAAAACATGAAAGGAATAACCCGTTGTCCTCTTTTCTCTATCTGTTTTTTTTTCTTACATGTTTGTTAAGACTATTCTGGAGAAAATGGGCATCCAGGGGAAGGTGCCAGCGATGACCAGCTTCTGGATCTGATCAGGGAGGACATGAGGCTGCAGATGGAGGCAGAGCAGCAGAGGGCACAGGAGAGAAGGAAGAACTTTGACAGCTTTTTACTTTGCTAGAAAAAATGGTTAATAAAGATTAAACATGTACATATAAAAGAAATATCTAAATAAAATCAGTTCTGCATTAAACTCTTGAATTTTATTTTTGTTTACAAATGAGAATTGTTTACTAGAGGGTATCCGCTGGGTCTTGAAAAGTCTTAAAAGGTGATAAATCGGTTTTGGTCAAATTAAGACCCTTAGAAAGTATTAAAAACTATTATCACATCTTTGCTCAGGCTCAGCTTGTCGAAAGTATTTTCTCTGAATTAGCTCTCCAACAGTCAAGGAAATGATTAACCCCCAGAGACCCACGGTTGTAGTATTACAACATCAGATTTAAGTCCACAAAAATAAACCTTCCCCATTTTTTTTCTTTTTAAAACCACATTTACATTGCTAATAGGTCCTATTGTTCAGTTCTGCAACACTATTGGCTGTTAAAATGTGTAAATAGGCCCGTTTATCTGGCCTCCTAGAACAACATGTGAAAGGTTAAAAAAAGATTTTGCAGTTGTTTTCTAAATTTGGGTTTCTGGGGGTTAAAAAGCTAAATAAAACGTTGAGCTCCGTCGTTTAAAGTTCCTTCTCCCTTCTGCCCAGCGGTTCCACGGTTGCTAGGCGACGGAACGTTCGCCGAGGGAGTTCATGAAGGCTAGGCCTGTCCAAATTCACAGCCGTTAACATCCGGTCTACCCGGCCGACGGAGGACGCAGCCCACGTCGGCCGGGTGGGCTGGGTCCTTCGAAGGATGCAGACCCTGAATTGAGACACAGCCATCGTTGCTCATTGGTCACGTGACTTTCAGTAAACAAATCAAGCTCCGACAAAGTGCTTTGCTCTGCGGTGGTTCGTTTTGGTGATACAAGCTTCGAATCCTGCGTGTCACAGGTAACATCACTACCTCTGCCTATAATGGACCTCTGAATCAGAATCAATGCTCACCTATGTTCTCCCTCTTCCAGATGCTGAGCTGTCATAGCAGTACCTACCTCAGACTTTTCTGTGCATCCTCAGTTCCTTCGTTATAAATAAATCATTTTTGACCCCCGTTCTTGGTCTGTGTTGCATTCTGCATCTCTTGGGTCTGGTACCTTCCTCCAAACATGACAACTATTTGTGACATAATATAGATGCCTTGATTAAACTAGTAGCCCCCCATTTTATTTTATAGTTAAGTAATGTAACGTTGATAAAAACTATTAGAAGTCCATTCTGCAGTCTGAGCAATAATTACAGAGTTAGCCAGCAGAGGGCGCTCAGTGCGTTGTGCAGCAGTAGCTGACGCTCCCACAGAAGAAGTGAGGGAGCAGGCTGCCACTGGCTGGCTGTGTCTCAGTTCAGGGTCTGCATCCTACTTTTTTTTGGGGGGGGGGGGGGGGGGGTTATTTTTTTATTTTTATTTTTATTTTTTCAAAACTTTATTGAACAAGGTGAAAGTATACAATCAAATTGCATACAAAATTGAACAAAGATGAAACATATGCCAGGGGGTGTACTACAGAAATGTTACACACATCCAAATAACTTATAGGTGGTGCAAATAGATACAGTTTTTAAAGCTTTTTTGTTTAGTGATCCACTAATCAATTTTATGTAAGATAGAGTGTCACTATAATAGTGCTTGAAATTAGGTTTTTGGTTACTATATTTGCATTTGTGGAGATAGAATTTAGCTAGAATAATTAACAAATTTATAACAAAGTATACATCTTACTTTCTATGCTTGCGAAAAAAACAAAATACAACATTTTCCCATTTTAGAACAAAGTCCTTGAAGAGCTGTCCGATAATAAATCTGCTAAAGTCTTTCCAAAACGTTGTAGCATGTGAACAGATCCAGAAGAGGTGCTGAACGGTCTCAGGGTGGCTTCCACAAAAACAGCAATTCACATCAATGTCCCTCTTAAACTTTGTCATAATGTGATTAGCTGGGTAACACTTATGAAGTATTTTGAATGAAACTTCTTTGACCTTATTTGTCACAAAATACTTATTAGGAATGGTCCATACTCTTTCCCAACTGATGTCAGTGACAAAGGAATTCCAATAAAAAATCACATGTGGAACAGATAAGGATTCACTCTGAAATAAAGCACGAATATTCCTATTACTGTTTTTATGCTCGATAAGACAAACTTTTCCTACATATGTGTTCACAGGGTCGGGAAGAGAAATAGGTGGTACAACTGGTAGAACACCTTTAAAAAGCATTCTAACACCCATAGGTATTGCAGCAAACAGTATGGCATATTCTTTGGGAGTTGCCGGAAATTTATATGTGTTTAGGAGTTCTGTGTAAGACATAAGCTGTCCATTAGTATTATACAACTGATTCACAAAAATGATCTGTTTCTCAACCCAATTAGAGAAAAACAATGACTTATTTTTATACACTATGTTCCTGTTATTCCAGATCAAGTATGTATGGGGAGTAAAATTATGTTTATAAATCAGTGACCAGGCTAATAGAACTTGTTTGTGAAACATTGAAAGTTTTTCTGGAAGCTTTCCTACATTGTAGTCACAACCCACCCAGGATAAAAGTTAGACCACCAAATTTAGAGAAGATATAGTGAGGAATAAAATTCCAAATGGAGACAGGATTTTTAAGAAAATGTTTTGCCCAGTTAATTTTAAATGTGTTGTTTAAGGTAGTGAAGTCCAAGATATTGAGTCCTCCATGTTGATAGTCGTTCATTATTACACTCTTTCTAATATAATGTGTTTTGTTTTTCCACAAGAAGTTGAAGAGCATTCGGTCAATTTCCCCACAAGTTCTGTTGTCCACATGCAGAGATATGGCAGCGTAAGTCAGGCGAGACAAACCTTCTGCTTTGGAGAGCAACACTCGTCCTCTTAAACTTAAATCTCTTTGTAACCACTGATTTAACTTAGATTGAGTTTTTTTAATTATTGGAGAGAAATTAGAGGTAATTCTGGTTTTTTGATCTTTACAGATAATCAAGCCTAAATATGTTACTTCGTGTTGAATAGCTATGTTACAAATACTATGATCATTACAATTGTTGATAGGTAATAACGGACATTTGTTTAAATTTAATATTAATCCAGAAGCTTTTGAGAAGTCATCTAAAATTTTCAGGGCAATTGACACCTGATTAGCATTTTTAAGAAAAATTGTGGTATCATCTGCCAGTTGGCTGATGACAACCTCTCTGTCTGCTATGTTTATACCTTTCATAGGACTATTAGCAATATAAGAAGCGATAATTTGGGTACAAAGTAGAAAAAGATAAGGGCTGATGGGGCACCCTTGGCGTACACCTCGATTCAGGCAAAAACAAGATGTGGTGCCATTTTTCATTCTGATAGAGCTATTTGCGCCAGAGTATAAAGTTTTGATGGCGTTGCAGAAGAAATCACCTAAGCCAAATTTCCTGAGTGAGAGAAATATAAATTCATGCTCAATAGAGTCAAAAGCTTTGTAGAAGTCAAGGAAAAGGATAAATGAATCATCAAGGATTAGGTCAGAGTAGTCCAGGATATCTAAGACGAGTCCAATATTATTGGAGATGTGCCTTTTTGTCATAAATCCCGATTGTGTCTCATCTATAACATCATCCAAAACATCTTTAATTCTCCTGGCCAGCAATAGAGCTAGAATTTTATAATCATTATTTAGGAGGCTTACTGGCCTCCAATTATCTATGGAAAGTAAGTCCTTCTTAGGTTTAGGAATTAGAGTAATGAGTCCTTGTGTGAGGGTGGGTGGAAGAGTGCCCTTTTCAATGCTTTCGTTATAAACCTGTAACAGAAATGGTGCTAACTGGGAAGAGAACATTTTATAAAATTCTGCTACCAATCCATCTGTGCCTGGAGACTTGTTGTTCTTAAGAAGATTAATGGAGTCCAGTATCTCTTTTTCAGTGAACGAACTGTCACAATAAAGCCTATCTGCAGTTTTAATTACTCTTATATTATTTACAGAGTCGATGAACTGAGTAGCAACATTTGCCTTATATTTTGATTCATACAACTTTGAGTAAAATTTACAGCAAAATTGAGAGAGGGTTTTGGCATCATTAGTGATCGTACCATTAATGTTCAACTGATGGATGGTATTGGATTTAGATCTAGATTTTTCTAAACGGAAAAAATAAGCAGAATTCTGTTCTCCTTCCTCTATCCATTTTTTTCTTGAACGAACAAAAGCACCTTCAGCTTTCTGGCGATAAAGCTCGTCAAGTTTAGAATGAAGGGTCCTAAGTTTCAATTTATCCTCCTCTGAGACTTCATCTGGTGGCAGTTGATATATTGATGAAATTTGAACAATTAATTTGTCTTCCTCTTCTGATCTTGCCTTAGCCATTTTTGCCCCATACTGTCTCAAAAATTTACCCGTTTCAAATTTAAAAAGTTCCCAGTTTATACTGTAAGACTTCTCAATATTACCCTTGTTGAAAAAGTGTTTTAACAATAGTGTAACTTCAGCTTTTACAAATGTATGGTTCAAAAGTGAACTATTCAACTTCCAGTATGAAGATCTATTAATATTTTCAGTAGGAAGAAATTGTAAATTGATGTATATTGCTCTATGGTCAGTGAGTGGCGTTGTGAGGATATTGACCGTAATGCTATCTTTGGACAGATTTTTAGAAATTAACCAAAAATCAATACGTGATTTCCTTGAACCAGAGTGGTTACTCCATGTAAATGACATATCATCAGGAAATTTCTCTCTCCAAATATCAGTTACATTAAATTTATCCATAAATGCTTCCATCCTCAAGTTACTTTTAAAACGTTGTGCTGGGGGGCATCTATCTATAGTATCATTGAGCGATACATTAAAATCTCCGCCTATTAACAAAAGTGAGCTAGGATATTTAGAAAGCCAAAAAGTAATTCTCGTATCTAATGAGTCAATTAATTTATCTTTTTCGGACTTGATATTATAACCATATACATTAACAATTATGAAAATGTAGTGATTGTATTCGACTACCAAACAAATATAATGACCTAAGGAATCACAGTCTGATTGTAGAACAGTACCACCGAAAGTACCTTTGAGAGTTGTGACCCCAGCTGACCTCTCTGAGCCATGCGAATACCAGATATCGTTACCCCACTGGGATTTCCAGAAGTTCACGTCAGTGGAAACAGAATGGCTTTCTTGGAAAAAAACAGAAATCACTATGACATTTTTTAGCAAACAAAAATAGAGCTTTACGTTTACAAGATTGTTTTAACCCCCTGGTATTAAGAGAAACAATAGAAAATGACAGTATAGAAAACAGAAACTGAACAATTAGAAATGTGAATAGAACTAATAGATAGTGTTTAATAGAAAAGTAAGTATCAAAAAGGGACCGAGCACTGCATTTATAAAAAAAATTTTGGTAAAAGTGTTTTAACATTAACTTCTCAATAACCAAAATATCAAATGCATAAAAATAAACAGCAAACATAAGCAGTTGTACTTCCTGGCAGTTTTAACCTTCTTTCTTATTTATCCATTATTCTCCATTTTCATTCTGAGGACGGAAAAACTTCTGTCCCATTCACAAAACCTCGACATCCGACGTAGTAGGCCTTTTTGTTCTCCTTGTGAGCCTGCTCAATAATGGGCCACAGTTTGCTCCGACGATCTCTATCTTCCTTTGAGAGGTCCTCTGCAAACTTCAGGTCACGGTTCTCCTTCAGGTATGGGGCTGTCTTCGCGGCTTTCCACAGATCATCTCTGATCCTGCGGGAGACGAACTGGATAATGATAGCTCTGGGCCTGGTGCTGTTTGGGCGTTTAGGGCCGACGCGGTGCACAGTGTCAATAGCTTCCCGTAGACAATTTTTACTTTCAGGCAGCACTGCCTGACAGATCTCAACAACACCCTTCCATACATCTTCCCGCTCAGCTTCTTTAACACCAAACAGCCTGAGGTTCCACCGTCTGGAGTTTCGTTCCAGGTCTGTGATTCTCTGCTGGTTGGTATCCACGCGACCTTCCTCTTTAGCGATTTTCTGCTCCAAAGAGCCAACTCTGCCTTTCACATTTCGTATTTCCTCACATGCAAAGTCAGCAGTCTTTCTAATACCAGCAATCTGTAGTGCAAGGTCATCCATCCTTTTATTTATTAGTATGGACAATGCTTCAACGACATCCACGTTACCTTCCTTGGAGTGCATCGCTTTCTTTGGCGCTGGAGATTGGCTGGGTGTGATGGGTATAGGTGGAAACTCGTCCATCAATTCGTCCGTTATTGGAAGAGGAAGTGAGGCAGCCGCATAATTATGACAGTTGTCAACCAATGAATTCACCAGCGCAGCCGCATGGTTATCTTCTGCCTTATTAGCATCAGCCATTAGCATTAGTTTTGTTCTGGAACTGCTCGACGGTCTCTTGTTATCCCGGTTAGACATTTTGCCGCTTACTTCTCAAAAACTTGTTCTTTTTTGGTTGAGAAACAAAACAGCTCAAAAACTCTTGATTTTACGTGATGTTTTTACCTTATTGTAGAGTTACATTTGCAGAGCTCGGCAGTAAGCGTCTACTTACTCAGCCATCTTGGCACCCTCCCGGGTCTGCATCCTACGTCGGCCGGTGTCGGTACAGTATCTGCTCGGGTGCAAGATCGGCTCGGGGTCCTTCGACTGCCGATGACGTCAAAGTACGGCAAACCGACTCGGACAAAATACACTACACGTCTATACTGTTGGAAAGAATTTAGCACTTTCGTTATTAAAATAACGTTTCTTAAGATGTAAGTTTGTGTTTATAATGGTATTTGTAAAATAAAACACTATATCTTATTCATAATGTTGAACTCCTCTTTGAGCACATCCCTTGAAGAATCATAGGTATTAGCAACACCTGTGAAATTTGCAGGAAAGAAGTGTGTCCCGTTTATTTAAGTATTTTGTGTTTAGAGTTTTTGACATCTTGTCATAGACTGTAGCTGCTAGCCAAAACTCTGGAGTTAAAAGTTTTCTGGCTTTACTAAAAAACCTGTCTGTACTTATTTGATTGATGGTATTTTTACTTTCTATTAGACTCCAAATGTAATTATTTGGCACGTTTCTAATTCATAATTTGTAATAATGTAATCTGCGATATTAGCATTAGCATTCCTATGGGTTTTTCCATGTATATTAGCATTGCGCTAACCACTCGCTGCCAAATTGCAGCCTTTGCCATTAGAAAATCTTCTTTTGTCACATCGCAATTTCATTGCACATGCAGTTAATCGTTCAGCCCTATTATACTTGCAGCTCTATGCTAAAAGTGTATTTTCAAAGAGGTAATGATGGATTTCTTTGTAAAAGTTGTCCATCTTTCCAATAGAAAAAAATTTGCCTGGACCAACGTCACGTGATAACAACGTTACGTGATTACGTAATTCCGTAAGGTCATGTTCAGCCAATCAACTACTTAGACGTCATCGGCAGTCGACGGACCCGAGCCGATCTTGCACCCGAGCAGATCTTGTACCGACACCGGATTCGTCGGCCGGTTAGTCACAGCGCCGCGACTAGGCCTGTCCCAATTCGAAGACTCCTTCAAATGCGGTCGACGAATGCGGCCTTCTTTTTGCCTGAATGAAGAATGGGTCCGGTGTATCCTTCAACAGGTAGCATTTCCCAAGATGCCTTGCGGGCCGGCCGGCAGAAAAACTTAAAAACAATGGCGGACAGTGAAGCGGGAGCTGTCGGAGAGGATTGCGCATATAAATGTAAGTATAAACTTGAAAACTGTTAGGTTAAGGAACTGGGCGTCGGCTGGTGCATCACCTTTTATAGTCCTGATCCTACCACTGCCAAACACAGTTCCACCATAATTGTTTCCAACTAATTTACATTTAAGCAAACATTACTTCCCCATTTATCTTATTTTATTAGACTTTAAAAGCATACATATATATTTTTTTATTTAATTTTTTTTCTTTTTTAACAAAACAATTGCACCAATAATATCCAAAGCAGAATTCACAAGCACAGAGACTCAAAATCCCGAAACAGTTTCCAGGAGGGACCGAGGCTGTACTGAGGCCTTTCCACGGAGCTAGCTCTGTGGTCACGTGGGTCTGAGGCGGCGGTCACGTGTGTCGGCTGCTCATTAATTATACAGAATTTTAGGCTTTCAATACACTTAAACAGAAGAGTGAGAAAAAAATTCACCCCCCTCAGAGTTGTCATGAGTATAAACTAGATAATTTAGACAAAAAACATGTTTTGGTACCAGGCTGTAAACATGTTTATTTCTGCTGTGAAATTGGCATTTTTAACATGGGAGTCAATGAGGATTTGCTCGCTTCTGGCACCAGCCACCAGCGGATGAGGGTGGAACTGCAATTTCTCTTACTTCCGGGATGGGACCATTTTTAGAGCTGCATTGTGGGGGCTTGGGGCCACATAAAAATGCTCGGCGGGCCGCATCTGGCCCGCGGGCCTTGAGTCTGACATATGTGATCTAGGACTTAAATGTACTAACCTTTAACACCAGAGCAGGCATGGCATATTCTGAGAATGATCAGGAACACTAACTGGTTCCAGTTGGGTGACTGGAGGTTGATGGGAAGATAAAAGATCATGGCGAGGAAATAATGATCTGACGAACAGGTGAGCGGACCTTCCTTACATGGGAAGTCCTGATGTCACGTTAAGAAGGGGGTGCTGCAGACCCGCAGATTCACGCCTGCAGCAGCGAATCTGGTGTGATCTCCAGCCCGATCACAACTTCCTCGTTCCTCGCTGCCCCTGATGTACTTAAGCATCCGCCCCTTAGCTGATGACAGCTTCAACACACCTCGCTGCTTAATGATAGTAATGCATGTGATGTTTAGACAGAGACTCGTCTCAGAAACGTATAACTCCCCGACAGAATTGTTTAGAAAATCATCAGAAAAGTTTCAGAGTGTTTCAGTTTTAACTTAAACTTCTGTTTTCAACTTTAAGACACGTTGTTTGTGATTGTTTACAGAGTAGAGAGAACACGGAGCGCTCTCCCAGCGGCAGCCAGGTGCCTCTCGTTTGTCTGACTACTTTCATAAACTACTGTTAGGGCACAGAATTATTCAGTCTGGTGCTTTCAGCGCTGCACAGATGTTACGTAAATGTTAAAAATATAGCTTAACGCAACTTTTGTAAAGTTTCTGGGGCCACCAGGCAGCCGCAGCAGAGACGATCTCTGAAAAATGTCTGCGACACGGACTCCGTTGTTGTCTGGAAGTTTTTTTTCCAAGTTAAGAAAAGAGGTGGACGTGTTTCCTAAATCCTGCATCAGTCCCAGCAAGGAAAGTTCTTTCTGTTTTTATTCCGTTTTAGTTTTAGAAATGCAAGCTGCGATTAAATGCGTTAATTTTTTTAACGCATTATTTTTTTTTTCTAATTAATTAATCGTAATTAACGCGTTAAAGTCCCGGCCCTAAAATAAATATTTTGTTCTAACAAACCTGACAATTTGCTTATGACTCACTTTTTTATGCACTGTGGAAAGAACGTTTCCATGCAGCAAAACGACCTCAAATCCGTGTCTGCTGAAAGGTTTTTGGAACGATTTTGTTTAGTGATGCATGAAAAATAAAGACAGTGTTTTTTGTTATTCATGTCATTGTCTGGTCATTTAATGCACAAAAAGCCACACTGTTCCTCTTACAGGCATTACAATCCTTACAGACTTTGTTAGCAGAGCTAAATGTTTTACACATTCTACAGATTTTCATCCATATAATATCTGAGAAAGTAAATGACCAACATTTATGTTAGAATCAGAGGATTTTTCAAACAATTCACTCCAAAAGTAACACATTCATGAAGTTTTTCCACATAATTTTGAAGGAGAAACAGATATTTAAAGGTACATTATGTAGAAAGGAAGTGAAAATGACATCCTGTGGTAACATTTGGTTACTGCAACCACTTTAAACAACTCTGGAGCTTTTTGCCGGCTGTCGTAAAATTACGATTGTCGGCGCTGCAGTGCTAGCTCGCAGGAGACAAGACAACCCCACAGTCAATGAGTAGTTACATCACTCATTTCTTTGTTTTGAAAGGAGATACACCGACAATCCCCACTGCAGCTGGATTTGAAACATGTTTCAGTTTAACCTTCCTTCAAAAATGCCTGAAACATTAGACTCTTTTGGGATTTTCTCATATGTAAAATTCTCACCGTATTTTTACATATTGCACCTTTAACATTTATTTCAACATAAAAAAACAAAACATTTCCTTTCTGATGATGCCAGAAAATTTCTGGTACCTTTCAAAAATGAAAGGACCACAGAAATTATTCTCACACATCCATTAATTTAGAATGATTAACATTCTGGTTACAAACTCTTCACCAGAAACGTGCTTTTTAAACACATTTTTGATTAAAAACCTAACGAGAATAGACCTAAAGAACAGGAGAACGGATGACAAGCAAAAGCTAATTATAAGAATTCTAAAAGAACAAAAAGCTCACCACATCTAAGTGTGAATGATTGCACTGATCTGTGTATTAAACCTCAGTCAAAGTCAGAATTTACAACAAAGAGCACATTTTGCTGAGTCATGGGACAGTCATGAGGTCAGCTTTTACTGTTTGGGTTGTCTAAACAAGCTTGGATCCAGAGACTGTTTCAGAGTTCAGGATAAACTTTATTTCTCAAAAATAAAGTTTATTTTGGTTTTAATTGATATCTAGATGTTTTGGTCACTGTCAGTTATAGCGGTAGAGTGGTTTTAGCTATTTACCAACTCCTGTACAAAGATTTTCACCAGAGAGATCACAATAAAAACACTAGTAAAAACTCAACTTTACCCTAAAAGTTGTATGAAATAGGGTCAAATATCGGTTAGTGCCTCATGCAATGTTAAATGGATCCTGCTCTTTTTACAAGATGCAATAAGTCACATGAGTTCATTCAGCCCTAAACTGCTTTTCTCCTGTCAAAATGCCAAACGTAAATATCATTTTCGTTTGTGATGAGCCTCAAGATCAAGATTTTCTTTCCTTTTCCCTTTCTGTTTTATTTTTTAGCCGTGCAGCAGCATCTTTGCATCAGTCATCACTTCCCTGCTTTAGTTACGGCGGTTTGAGACCTAAACCCTGGTGAAGATTTAAGACTAGCAAATAAAAAGCACTGTCATAAATATTATTAGACATCAACTACAAGAGCAACTGTCAGCTAGCTAAAGGAACAACTGATTAATGTTAGCTTCATGTGCATTCAAGTAAAAGGTAAAACATAATTTGGCTGTGAGTTGCGTACAAGTTAAGTGTTTATGAATTATTTTATACAAGATTTAACATAAAACAAACTAGCATTAATGTCGGACATTCACAGAGAAATAAAATAAAGTTCTGATTTGTGACTCTAAGGGTTAATTACTAATATTTCATGTTTCTAGTTTGGAAACTAAAGTTTAAATGAGAGTTTCTTACTTATTTTAATGTAAAATTAATATTTATTTGTATATTTTAACCCAGTGTACTTCAGCTAATGCTACCAATATAGGGCCTACGAGGAGCTGCAGTTTAGTCAAAATAATTTGTTCATTTCCAGAAACTGATGTAGGCCGACACCACATTCTGCTGTTGTTTACTTTGAACACAACAGATATTGTCTGTTCATAATTTTATGGCTTATTGTTGGAATGTTGAACATTATTTAAAAAACCTGAAGAATCTCAACAACGTCTGAAGCTGATAGTCAAACTACAACAACCAAAGGACCACCATGTAGATACTGACTAGTCTTGTAATCAAACGCCATCTTGAAGAGTCTGATACCTCTTGTGGAGAAAGGCCTAGAATGAGGATCTGCTCCACGCTTAGACATCAAATCTGATTACAAAGAAAACAAAAACACTGATCCAACTCCTTCCCTGAGATTAGGCAGTGATTTCAGTGTAAATAACCTGTTGTAAAGGCAACAGCCAATCAGAAATGGAAGATTTGAATTTCCAGCTGAAATACATTTTTGATTTCCAGCAACCAAGAACTGTAATGGAAGCAGTAATACAGAGCTACTGAGCAGATTCTGGATAAGGAAAACAAGTGGCGTGTCTGCAGAATGAAAACCAATTGCTTTAACGTTTGCCATGCTTATGTGTAACACAACTATAGTCACCAGTGAGCCGATTTTCACGACTGGTGGTTTCCACAGTCGGCTAATATGTCTCTGAGCAGTGTGTTAGGCTGAGTTTGGTCACACCTTCCCTGTGCAGCTTGTACAGCAGCTTGAATTCACTGGGCAGTTGATGAGTCTCCTGCCACTTGGTGGTGAACTTGGTCCCTTTCTTGTCGTAGTAGTGATAGGGCAACTCCTTGCCTGTGTTGGGGTCCCAGCCAAAGGGCCAGAAGCCGTAAAGGTGGATTTCGTCACACATGGCGGAGGCCAGCGTGTACATGAGGATCCCGGTGCTCAGACGTTTGGGAGAGAGGTTTTTAGTCTTCCAATATCTGTGAGGAAAGTCGGAAAATCGGGGATTAATCCGAGTGCATAAGTAATGCAAAAATGTTATTTTCCAGCCACTTACACCTGATAAGAAACATGTTGCCAGTCAGTTCATTTGGATTTTTACTAATCTACACCACATTTACAATCAAGCATGAATTTCTTTAGAGAAAGCTAACTAGTAGAGCTGTTCACTGCATGATTTCATTATTGTTTAATATGATGTCAGTATTGTAGCCACTCAATAGAAATCAGATTACACAAAGACCTAAATATGTTCTTTTTTCAGCTATCGTTCCTCATGGATCATGAAATTATCTATCAAACAACTATTTAGGTGATACTTTGTTACATGTAATGGGATTTTTTTCTGATGTACTGTTTCTAAACTCCCAACCTGAGAGCAGCATTATGCTAGCACTGCATGCTTTTATGTTTATTACCATTATTGTTCTTAGCTAATATCACTACTGTTAATAATGCTGCTTATATAAAATTAAATTCAACAAGTAAGTTCATTAGTCACTGAAACACCTGAATCTGGAACATCTCAAGTTACAAAAGATCCAAATAAAAGGCTTCACATGCAACCGAACATATAATTTTATATAAGATTAACAAAGCTAAAGTCACTGCTTCTGGTCTGCTGTTTTAAATTATTTTTAATCAAAACCTTTTATTTCATTGTATCTTTAAGTCATCCACATGGCGCTCCAGGGTTAGTACCTTTTTCAAAAACCTGCCATTTTCAGCCTTGTTCAGGTTTACTGCCCTCTAGTGGAGGAAGTAAAGGGTAAATTTTATTTCTTCTTTCCAGTTTTGTTATATGATTACATAATAGAAATAATTGTTTATTATGTAGTTGGTAAATTGGTATTAGCCACAATTGAAAAACATTATTATTATTATTATTATTATTATTATTATTATTACACATATCAAGCTTTAAAGGCTTTTAGGGTTTTAAAATTGAAGTTTCAATCTTTTTTTTTTCTCTGCAACATTCAAAATAAGTGGTCAATTGTATTTATTATACAAACAAAATAATTTTCCAACTTGCACTATATTATATTTATCAGCAGCATTTATTTGACACCAACAAATAAGGTCATTTGATATGTTGCTGACAAAAATGCAGCGTTCTGTAGAGAATGTACTCGTATCTGTTTCTTGCATTTTGGATATTTATATATTATATATGGAGTTGTAAATATGAGTCTAAATGTGCTGGAACGTGATAGTAACCATCCACCTCATCCGTTGTGTCTTACTTGTTGACATCATGCATGATGTTTCCTGGCCAGGCCAGCTCGACCTTCAGCTGACCTTTGTGCTCCACAAAGAAGTCCACCAGGGTTCGAGTTACTGTGGCAGACGTGTGAAGGAAGAAGGCAGGAATCCACAGGATGGCTCCCTCCAGCTTCTTCAAGTTCAGGAAGAAGTTGTTCCTGTCTTGAATGGTCAGCAGGTTGTTGTAGTATCGCTCCAGGATGCTGGGGTTGAAAGTGGTCATGTTGGTCTTCTTTCCTACATCTTTGGAGTAAATCTCCGTTGGAGCAAAGTTGCAACGAAACACAAAGTCGGCTTGGTCGATTTCTGGGCCGCAGTGGCTTCCTGTGAGGATGCCGCTGTTCCCAACCACAGCACACATGCTGTAGTGCTTGTTGAGGATGGGAGAAGTGTCTGGGAGCAGGGACTTGAAGTTGTTACTGATGGAGAAGACATACTTTTGGCTGGAGTAGTCAAAGTGCATCAGCTGGCCCACGCGCACACTGCTCTTAGTGAGGGAGAAGTTGTTGGGAATGTCGATGAAGCTGAAGATATCTTTCCTGAAAATAACAAAAAAAAAAGAAAACATTTCAGAATCATGAAATCAAATTTGTTATAATTTATAGTTTCTTTAATATAATGTTTATCTGGTTATTTATGTTTCCATGTTTTTTTAAAACTAAATGGTAAACGATTACCTCTGGTGGGAAAATGCTGTCCTGTTGAACTTCCATTTGTATGGTTTTCCTTGAAGCTCCTCATTCAGAGCATTTGTTAAAGGGATGAAAGACGGGTCCAGGAAGTTCATTGCAAACTGGGACCTGAAGACGAAAATGTAAACAACGCAACAGAAAGCTGAATCATTGTTATGAAACAGATGAAACCTTAACGATGGATTTGTTTTGTGGTTTTAAACAGAAACCCCCATGACTGGTGTCTACTGCAGGTAAGATACTAACTGCTCATAATGATTACACACAACCACACTTTATAAAATGAGCTCTTTACATAAATCAGAGTGAGAACCCAGTGGTTTTCATTAAAATAATCTAATTTACTTTTTGAGTTTCCTATTTTGTTGGTTTTTTATTAAATTGATTGATGAAATAAGTACTAAATGGGAACATTTCAGACTGACTCCAAGTGTCTGGAAACAGTATTTTTGCTTGCAGTTTTCTAAAAATGAGGAACATTCTGTCCCAGAATGAAGCTGAAAAATTGGTTCATGTGAGTCTCATCTAGGCTGGACTAAAGTAACACTCTATTATTAGAAAGTCCAAGAAAATCATCTAAATCCTTCAGCTGGTTTAAAAATACTCCTGCAAGTTCTGATGAAAACTGGGAGGTGAAATTATTTTATCCTCACTTTAATAAATTCAGTTTAAATTTAGAATGCTATTCAAAATCATTCTGATAATATAATTAAAGGTAAGTTCTTAATTTAACAGACTTCTTTGTCTCAGCTTGCAGACTGACAGGACCAGAGCGAGTGCCTCAGCTTCCTTTTGAACGACACGCCCTGTTTATCTTTGAGATTATTCAAAAATTGTGTCTGTTTTGAAAAAGATTGTTGTTGAGAAGATAATGCCAAAGTAGGCAGTTTACTTCAGCTTTTCAATTCATAAATATGGGAATTCTTCTAGTGCAAAATATATTAACTTTCAACCTTTCATCATTGACAATTTAATTCATTCAAACTTGCAACACTTCAGTGAGAAATAATGAGATTTTTTGGGTCGAATAGTAAAAGTGGGGTTAATAACACAAAATATCCCTATAATGTAATAATGGATAAAGCGGCAAAAAAACAAAAATATATTAAATATTTCAAATTTTACACCTTCAAATAAATAAATTGTTGCTCCTTGAGTTGAAATTTTAAAGTAACTGTTGCATTTTGAGGTTTTTTGATCAAATTAATGTTTTTAATAAAAAATTACTTCTATTATAGATTTAATGTTGCAGGCAGCAACTGTGGAACTTGATTTAAATTAAACATGAATTAATTAGATGGATACCAAACCACCAATACCAATACAACCTGTTAAAGTGTTGCTTCACATTTCAGCACCTTGGGCAGTTCAATTCAATTCAAGTTTATTTATAAAGCGCCAAATCACGACAAGAGTCGTCTCAAGGCACTTCACATAATAAACATTCCAATTCAGGTCAGTTCATTAAGCCAATCAGAAATAATGTTTCCTATATGAGGAACCCAGCAAATTGCATCGAGTCACTGACTAGTGTCAGTGACTATACAGCAATCCTCATACTAAGCAAGCATGCAGCGACAGTGGAGAGGAAAACTCCCTTTTAACAGGAAGAAACCTCCAGAGAATCCTGACTCAGTATAAGCAGCCATCCTCCACGACTCACTGGGGATGGAGAAGACAGAGCAGACACACACACACACACACACACACACACACACACACACACACACACACACACACACACACGCACGCACGCACACACACACACACACACACACACACACACACACACACACGGACAAGTAATGTGTCTATAGTTACATTGTGATTTCTTAGTAAATATTCTATTTGGTGAGAGATAAACTTTATTGTATTTATCCTAGTGGATCTATAATTAAACGGGTAAACTAGTAGTAGCACATCCAACGTCAAGGAAAGCAAAAAGTTATTATCAGGAGAGAGAGAATGTATTAGTGGTTAGCAGCAGTGTGCTAGACGATGGCCCCCTCCATGAGGCCACCACAGCTCAGCAGAACATCTTTGTAGCTTCTTCTGGGGAGAAAAACACTTAGAGAGAAAATAAAGTTAACAGCTGAAATAGCAGGAAATAATACAGTTAAAGAGCAGATAGTAGAAGAAAGCAGTAGAGTGTGAAAAGTGGTCAGTGTGTCCTCCAGCAGTCTAAGCCTATAGCAGCATAACTACAGAGATAAATCTGGATAATCTATCCTATTTAGATGGAGGCATGTTGGAGTCAGGGCAAGGGAGAGCAGTCTTTACCGACTGTACACTCCACCTCCCTCTACCTGGTTTAATCAGGTGTAAGGTGAGGATGGAGAGGTCCATAAAGGCCAAACTCCTTTGTTTACATCCACACCAGCTCTTAGCTGCATCTTTTAAATCTGCAGAACCACAAAGCTCACCGAAAGCCTGCGTGGAACATGATCCTCGGGCCTCCGGTGTAATATTTACTGGAGCTGAAGAGGCTGTCTTTTCTCAGAGACACGTAGCTGATGAGCGACAGGATGAGCACAGCGACGCTCAGGATGATCAATCCCAGGGCCTTGGCGATGCGGACCATGTTGGGAGCGTTTTCATCCCCGGTGTGCTGCGAGGCGTCGGCTTTAGGTCGTCATGTTGGGGGCTTTTCCCGACACACTGGCGCTCGCTGACTCACTTGCGACGCGGACGGCAGGTGGTTGTCGGCTGGATAGTGAAGACGTCTGGGATCGGATCGCACTCATTCCTCCGCTGCTTCTCTCTTCGCTGCTGGCGACTGAACCCTCCGGGCTTTAATCATGAGACTGGGCAGAAAAATGTGTCAACATCCTGGCAGCTATGGACAGCAGCAGGAGCAGCATCTCCTCCACCCCCTCTCTGGTGCAGGCTCCTCTGCAGCACAAAGGCAATCTTATCCAGAAATAAACTGAGAGGGACTCAGATGGGTGATGGTGGCGTCCCCACAGGAAGCACGAGACCAGAAAACGAAATTCCTTTAATATTTGGTGTCGAAAACCCTCACAAACGTTTATTTTTGCTGCCACTGGGCCTATTTTCTTTGTAATCGTTTTAATTGATCATTTAGCTTTTTAGTAGATTTATCAGTTTATGTTTGCTTTTTGGTCCTTCTCTGTGTCCATCCATGAAAACCATTTGAGATGTGTGTGTCTTAATAAAATCAGAAAAAAACATGTGGAGGACAAGAAATACAGCGTCGTCTGAGTCATCTCATTGAAGCACTGAACTTAACTGAGAAAAAAACAACTAAATAACAAATATGGAGGTGTTTGAATAAAAAGTTAAATGTTATCAACTTATATTATAATCTGACATTATCATTACCAGTATTGTACAACTATTGTTGCCCCAAACAAATAATGAAAGGGTAAAAGCAGGAAAAAGACCTGTCTTTAATCAAAGGTGACAAGCAAAACAGTTCTAAAGGGGGTCCAGGGTGGGCTAGTGCTGCCCAAACAGCAGGCTTGGGAAAAGTACGTTACTCCAAAAATTGCTATTAGAGGGAAACCAACTTTGCAGCGTCACAGAAAGAAACGGAGCGAACCGCGACGGGAGAGCGAGAACCAAAGGGAGGAGATGATCTGATCACCTTCATCAGTGCTTTTATAAAGTTATGGAAACGTCACAAATAAAACCCACCTGGTTGTTCAGGTGTCCCAGAAGGCTGTTTCTGTAGATGGTGACATGAGGAGGGACAGATTAAAGCCACACTGGTTTTTATTTGAACACTCAACTGTTTACTAAATGATTCAGCTTCATTCCAGCATTATTTATACGTACAATAAATATTTATTTAGCTGAAAATATAATTTTATCAGAGCAGAATTTTATTAGTTGGCTTTTTGTAATGAAATGTTTACATTTAACCTTTTTTCTGCTTATTGATCTTCATAATGCTGGTAGAAATGAAGCCACAGCTGTGAAGTAGTCCATGAGTGTTATTTTATGATGCCTAGTATTTATTTTACTGTATCCCGTTCTCTGGACCAGAGCGTAGACCTGTGGTCACAGACAGGCTGCAGTCATTAAACTGGTTAACATGAGGTCAGGGTTTGCAACACAGTTCTGAGTTTAAATAGTTCTTCTGACATAGTTTGCTCGAGTCATTTGGAAGTTCCTGTTTAGTAATAAATGTGAAGAAAATTCAAATCAGTTTTTTTTTTCATTTAAGCTGCAGTTTTACAGACTTTAATAAACATAAACACAAACACAAACCAGACACTGAAAGCTGAGGTTGTTCTGGAAAAAGGAGCAGAGTTACAAACGTTTTACACTTTTTTTTTTACAATTTTAAAGCCATAAAAAATACCAGTTATATTTATGGTCATAAGAGGGTTAACCGTGATAAATTTTCTGCCTCCCACAAAGAGATGGTAAAAGTGAATGTGGGCATAATTATATACGTTTTATGACTTTATTATGTATTTTTTATTATTGACTATTACTCCAAAGAGTTCAGATGAAGGCAACTGGACTTCTTTGGTTTCTTTAAAACGTTTCACTTCTCCTCTGAGGAGCTTTGTCAGTTCTAACTGGAATATGGGAGAGTCAAGCTCATAAGCTGTAGCTGTCTGTTGTTATTTATACTCTGAGCCCTCTTTAGGTAAAACTTCTACACTGCATTTGAATTTAAATCTGCAATCGCTACTGGCCAAGAGCAGAGGTGTGGACTCGAGTCACATGACTTGGACTCGAGTCATCATTTTAATGACTTCTGACTTGACTTGATAAAATCTTTAAAGACTTACGACTTGACTGACTTGAACGCCAATGACTTGCAACTTGAATCGACTTGCATCTGTTGACTTGATGACTTGAGCACATTTGATATTTTAGCACAAAAGTGGCTCGACATGGACAAAAATCATGAATCATTCTTCGTTCTGGGTTTGATTTACTACTAAATGCAGCAGCACTTTGTTTATAATCCGTTTCAGTTGCATTTTCTGCTTGTTTGAGCAAATAAATGAAGCTTTAAGAAGCTTTATTTCTGGAATTTATTATCATTGTCAAAATGAAATGTAAATTGAAGTTAGACAGATGACTTGATAATTCAAAGTTAAGGACTTGGACTTCCACATCATTGACGTTGCACTCGACTTGGACGTCTTTGACTTGACAGGAAAGACTTGACTTGCAAAGCAGTGACTTGGTCACACCTCTGGCCAAGAGGTACACTCTGATGTTTGCTGGTACCATATGATGTCACATTGCTGTTGCGAACCTGTGTGTGTGTATTTGTAAGCGGCTCCGCCCTCTCTGTCTGCCAGGCAACAGCATTTGTTGCATTTTTCAAACAGGAAGAGGGAGTGGCGTGGAGTGGTAGGCTCTTTAAAAAAACATGACAGCATGAACCAGGTGTGGTCTAAATGGTAAATTCGTGAAAATAAGTTAGTTAAATAAATGTGTGAAGAAAATTTGCAAGAAAAAAAAACTGAAGATCTTTCAGAATTTCAGAAAACCACTTGTCCTATTTGAACTAAAAATCAGCATCAGACTAAATATGTTTTTTAAAAGTATTTTTAATTGCCTGTTATTTCTACATGTTGCAGATAAAATCTTGATACAACAGTGATTATGACATCACAAAACTATTTTTTCCTTTTACATGTTATTTACATGTTGAAGTATTTTTCTCATTTCACAGTAAGCTTATTATGGTACACAAACACCACAAACAGTATTTCATGTTTCCATGCATTTACAGATTGGGATCTTTTCCCTCAAATATTAAATATGACTAAAGAAATATTGGATTCGTACAAACATACACTGTTATATGCATCAACGTGTAAAGTATAAAAAAATGTTAAATATTCAGAATGTTTGAGTTTATTAGCTGGTATTCAACACTTTACTAACATTCTTGAGTTCCTCCTTGTGCTTCACTGTTACCACTATAATGTTTCAATCTCCTCACGAGGCTTACGTTATATTTCATCATCAAACTGCCCAAAGTATTGCATTTTCTTCACTGCATTTTTAAGAGTTGTCTATTTTTATTACCGAGGCAGGCAACAAACTGAAAAAACACAGGCACTTAATATCAGTCCCTTTGCATACTTACGTCCCATAAACAATACACACATAAAACAAACGGGTCTCCCCTGAAATCTAACTTGATTCAGAGGAAAATACACATCATATTTAATACACGGTCATCACTCTACACAGTTGAGAAACGTGGAGGGGAAGAAAGCTCCTTCGCCGTCACTTCCTAGAGAACCGCATAAACTTTCTTCTCCGTAGCTCATTTCCTCACAGGAGTCCTCACTGAAAAGACAAGGAGGTTATTAGGAATCAATGTGGGCTTAACTATAAACGTCTACTAACCTCTCACTCTCATTCCAGCTCATCTCAGGAATAGTTGGCAGGCCAGGGACACTAAAGTGATGGGTCTGAAGACTCTGTGCTGTTCTCCTGGACAGGATCCAAACAAGCTTCTTGTTGTCTGGTTTGTTACATTCACTGGAGCGGTATTCAGTCATGCGCTTGGTCACGAGGTCCTTCCACTGGAGCAGCTCGCTGTCACAGATCTGTGAGGAGTAAAAAAGGCAAACATCTTGGAGCCTGCTCCCATGAACACCACGCTGACCGCTCTTACTTGTAGTTAGGCAGTGGCACCATTATGGCACATTGCATGATTGTAAAGTGGGCATACACTCATTACTTTAATCAATCTGCTGTGGTCTCCAGTATGAATGAATCCCTTGTGGGTTTTGTTCTGTGGTAATAAGCTCTGGCACTGCGGTTTCAGGGACTAGAAGCTAGTTGGAGCATTTGGGGGTGGTGGAAAACATCAGGATTTTGAGTATTACTCATTAATATTCATGATATGCAATCATCTCGCCTCTGATTGACTAACAGCATCGCAACTCTTCCACTGCCCCCATTCATTCTTCTTTCTTAAGCCTGATTCATGCTTCTGCTTCTGCGTCTGCGTCAGTGCGGAGACACGCAACGCCATTATCTGTCCTTGCGGGTCTGCTGGGGAGCCCCGCAAGGACAGATGGAGTCAAGCTCTCTTTTCTAAACGTCCATTCGTTGAGACGGAGAAAGCAAACTTGTGATTGGTCAGGGCACCGCTGTCGTCTACAGCGCCGCCATAGCGCCCTCAAAACCATAAAGAGAGCCGAGGATAACTAGCGGCAGACACGGAGAAGCTTGAAGAATACCTCGCGAAAAAACTCTAAAAATATGAAAGTTTAATTCCCCCGTGACTGGAGGAGTGAAAAGATGCGCAGCAAGCGTTTTATTTGTGGACGGAAATGACAGGAAACATGGGTTTAGAGGTGGCGAGCGGATGACGAGGTGGAGGAGGATGAGAGACAAATTTGTCTGTGTTAAAAAGTCTCTTATATAAAAAAACCACAAAATAAACACACCATCTTGGACCGGATACATGACAGGATACCGCTACGCTACGCCCTTTGCTGTCCTGGCGGGGAATTGCTTTGCAACACTCCCCAGGAGACGGAGTGTGTGCGTGTCCATGTGTGCGTGTCTCTCCCTGTTGGAGCTGACGGAGAAGCATGACTCAGGCTTTAGGTAACGTTGATGTGTTGCCTCCACAAGTAACAAGTCTGAATGTGTTCCAGCATGGTGTGCAGTTGCTAATGCTAATGATTAGCTTCCGCTCCCTCCTTGACATAAGCCAAAGCGGGTGAGCTCCTGAATGCTAATTTTACAGTGTAACATAGATCTGTGTGGCTTTATCGGATCCAGGCGTTTCCCCGTCAATTTTCTTTCAGCGGCTAAAGTAAGAACCAGGTCGAAGACTATTTTCACATTCGTGCAAGTGAAACTTATTAAAGTGACCAATCGTATTTCAAAACGAACGTTTCTCAGTAAACTTCCACTTTAATGTAACTCTAGTCTAAAAATAAAGAGTAGTTATACTCTAACAAGTAACCTAGTCAGTAGAACATGTCTAACCATTTTATCTTCTTTCGATCTTGTTTGTTTTAATCTTATCTGTTATCCTTTGGAGTAAAGCTAATTATGTGTCTGTTGCTGCTGCTTCTTGGCCAGATCGTCGTTGTAAATGAGAATGAGTTCTCTATCGACTCATCTGGTTTAAATAAAAATAAATAAATATTTCCCAAGACAAAACGTACCTTTAGCTGCCTTTGAAAATGAGGAACAATCTTCAACAACATGGCCGACGGGAGGGTTTCAAACTCGTGAGCAATGAGGGACAAAGCCAACACCGATGGCTGCAAAGAAGAGCAGATCGGTTAGAACAAAAACTACGCTAATGATGCTATGGTGACAAATTACCGCCTGAGAACAACAATCTTACTTTTGCTTTAGAGAAAACAAGCTGGCATAAGCAGGCTTTTAGCTGGGCTTCCAGTCTCCCAATGCTTGGGATCTCCTCCCTTAAAACATAGAAGTAAGTAGTAGTAAGTACGTACATTTTATTGATATAGCGCTTAACGCAGACATAGAATCACAAAGTGCTTCACATAGATCAGGGGTGCCCAATCCTGGTCCTAGAGGGCCGGTATCCAGCAGGTTTTAGTGGTTTCTCTGCTCCAACACACTTGATTCAGTGGTTGAATCACCTGTGCAGCAGCTCATCAGGCTCTGCAGAAGCCTGTTAATCACCTGCTGATTGAATTCAGGTGTGTTGAAGAAGGGTTAAACCTAAAACCAGTTGGATACCGGCCCTCCAGGACCAGGATTGGGCACCCCTGACATAGATCAAAACAAAATAAAACAAAGTCAAAAAATCATAATGATCTCAAAACAGAAATAGACTAAAATCAGAAAAAATTAAGTCATAAAATTATAACATTTGAAGGGAAGGGAATCCTAACAGAACAGATCTCACTGGAGCAGTCACAGTAAGAGCAGGGAGTGAGAGGAAGCAAATGCGTACCTTCCAGCAGAAAGGGAGGTGAAGGCTGAGTAGTACAGGTGCAGAAAGGTCAAGGCCGTCACTGCTTTGGGCTCCACGCAGAGTTTCTCTGAAATAATTTTCTCCATGCGGTCGAGGTCGGACACGGTGAATTTGCTTTGGCTGATGCGAATGAGCTCATGAGAGGGTGAGATGTTGCTCTCTTTCTCAACCATTTTGGCAGCTATGTGAAGACAGCTTACTCCGATACAGGGAACGTGTTTTGGCTGGACCTGTAATAAACAACAGAGAAACAACTGATCTGACAACTTATGATTATAACAATTCTTACTGCTGAGCTATCAAAGCTGAGCTGTTACTGTACAGCCAATATGTCGTTATGAAATAGAATAATAAACAGGTCCAACTGACTAAAAAAGCACAAGTTTATTGCATTTTTGTAACTAAATTAATTGAATTTGAACTTTTTAAGATTTTAACATTTCAAACAACTTTTAAACAAACAGATTATTTGAGAATAATAAGTAAGACCTGCCTCTCTTGCACTTTGGAACAACCAACACTCATGTTAGAAGTCCTGAAGGTCATTCTGGTTCATACAGTCAACATGCATCTCTGTGCGTCCATGAAGTATTATTATTATTATTATTATTATTTAGTTCTCTAACATTCTGCACATAATAATCAGCAGCTTGTTTAATAAGCTTTGACTGGTAAAGTGCCTTTTGGTTAGCCTAGTGAACTAGACCAAATTCTTGCTTTATGTAGTCTGGCTTGCCAGGCTACCTTTTGGTAAATAGAGATGAGATTTTATTTGTACAGACTTTTATCCTGAGGTTTAAAAATAAGCATTGCATTCTGACACTAGGAATTCTTACCTTCATATTGGTGAGAAATCTATCAAGCAAGTTGACAGCTTGAACAAAAGTTTGAGTGCTGTAGCCAAAGAAGCTGGTCAAGCTCCACAGCTCTTGCACCTTGCCGTCCCTGCATTTTGCAGTCACTTGGCTGTGAATCTTTATACATAAAAACAACAATTATCTATTTGTTGGACATCCGTGGACCAACAATCTTTGTACTAAACTTGTATGCCTGCACTGAAGGATCAAACATATAAATGTAGGTCACCTCTGGGGATGTGGACTCCATCAGCTTCAGGCCAGTCTCCCTGGGAAGAAAGTTGTTTTCTTCTGCACAGCACGACTTTAGCTCGTTTAAGAGCGAGCTGTCAACGCCTAGAAGATCCCTCATCCTGAGCAAAAGCACATGTCAACAGTTCAACATTTAAATATGAGCAGGATCCGCACAATTCGGATTCCCAAACAATCTAAAAAAAAGGAACAAAGTTTTCAGCTAAACCACAGATACTTGGCGTCAGATTCCGAACTGCAAGTTCCCTCACCGCCTAAAATAATAATCCTTGTTTGTTATTGTATTATAAACAAATACACTAAAAACGTGTTTATAAACAAGTAGAAAGATAAATAATAAAAAGTAGAAGATGAAATGGGTGTTGGCTACTTTAGCTAGCTTGCTACAGTATGAATAAACGTTCGTCCTACCTCGTCCAGAAGCGGCCGACCTGCAGAATAACAGCGCAGCGACCGAATCATCCAGTTCACGTTTTCATTTCTCTACTTTGTTGACAATTACGAGTCAATCATGTTGAAAGAAATAAAGATGCTCAATCACAAACGGCAAGAGACCGTAGCAAATCACAAACCGAATAATAAACTTCATTGACCAGCATGCAACAATGAAAACGCAGGGTGATTACGTAAATGTAACAGGATGATGACGCAATTTTCAAATAATCGATGGCGCTAACTACGTATTTATGTTTTAACCACACGAAATTTCTTCTTGTATCATGCAATTTTATTTTAACTATGTTGTTCTACCTAGCTTGACAATTATATTTAGCTGTTCTTACTAACAGCCATCTTTGAAAATCATGAAATGAACGCTAGCTCGAAGCTAGCCGCAAAAGATGTAGCTTCTGGTGCTGTTTCCATAGTGATGAGCCTCTTTTTTTTAAACTTATTAGCTTTTCTCGATTCATTTTTCGTCTTTTGGGGTTTGATTGTGTGGTGATGTCATCGAAATTCCATCTTTCTGCGCCTCCGCGTTCTGGATTTGCTACTGATGAAGATGTTTCAAGTTATAAAGCTGCAGCAAGAGATCAACAAGCAGAAGCTAGTAAGCTAGCCAGTTTTTGATATATATAGCTGGCCAAGTGTTTGAATTGATGATTTGATTATTTTATACCTTTTAGGAACTCGCAACACCTCCCTGAGACTGAGCAGTCTGACGCTGGATGAGCTGCGGTAAAGAGGCATCGATCATAAGCCAGTTATATCATATTTTTCTGGAATATTTTTAGTAGTGTTATAGTATCCCCACTTTGAAGATGTAAACAATAAATTTGATGATTAGTAGACAAGAGAAATAGGCTAAGTAAGCTGTATTTGATGCAACACAGAGACACACAGGACAAACAACCATGCGCACACACACTCACGCCTAAGGACAATTTAGACAGACCAATCAACCTAACAGACATGTTTTTGGACGGTGGGAGGAAGCCGGGGTACCCGGAGAGAACCCACGCATGCACAGGGAGAACATGCTAACTCCATGCAGAAAGATCCCAGGCCGGGAAGTGAACCCAGGACTTTCTCGCTGCAAGGCAACAGCTCTAACCACTGCACAGCCGAGGGAACATTTCAACATCTAGAAATTATGTAGATAAAGGATTGATTTGTAGAGTCACTGTGCATTCATTTTTGTAAGACATTGGTGGACAATGTTTAAAATAATTGTATTTCTATTTAAGTTGTATTTAAGCCCAGCATCTAAATTTGCATATTTGTTGTTTTCCACTTTTCATAATAAATAAAAAAAAGAAATAGGCAGCAATAACAGACTGATGGTCTACATGTATAACTTTTTATTTCTTGGCAGTGAGGAACTTGAAAGACGAACAGAAGAAACCCAAAAACTGCAAGAGGAGGTTGAAGATGCAACCAGAGAGACTCTGAAGACACTTGGCTGCACTTACAGTTTTCCTGGACAATGCTGTCTCAGTCGTAGGTTTAATGTTGATGACATTCTATTTATCATTCAACAGACTCAGAACTGTTTGTTTTTTTCCACTGTCCCAACACCTAAAGCACAACACAGGGACTGTGAATACTGTTTATGTTTATTTATTTGGCAGACGCTTTTATCCAAAGCGACTTACAATTTTGAACCTATAGGGCATGTTGTGATCTGTGGGGGAAACCGGAGTACCCGGAGGAAACCCACGCATGCATGTGGAGAACACGCAACTCCACGCCGAAAGGCCGCAGCTGAGTTTCGAACCTGCAACCTTCTTGCTGCGAGGCAACAGTGCTGACCACTGTGCCACCATGCAGCCCATGTTTAGCTTCTACATTCTGAAAACAGGAGTATAGATTGTGGTTATCACAGTTTGTAAGATATGCAAAGCCTCAGCCTTCCTAACAAAACATTTCTCACCACTTTCAATATTAACAAGTACAGGTTGTGTTCTAAAACATCATATGCTCTTTTGGCAGATGACTCATCTGAAGATCCCCCCACTGTTTCAGCCCACCAACCGAGGATGACTCAGCCTCTGGTCTGCAGCCTGGATACTTTAAAACAGAAGGTGGTCGAGAAAGACAGAAGCTCCTATGAAAAAGAAGAACTAGGAAATGCAATAAATAATCATCTTCAACAGCTGTCTGATTTACAGCTCAACAAGGTTTTTACTGTTATGTTCTAGTCACTTATTTTATTTAGGGTTTTATCTTGAGAGTGACTGAGTGAATGATGAAGAGGTGTTTTCTCTACATATTTTTCACCTTTTTCAAAGATAAGTGATCAACCTGGGAAAGACACGTTTAGCCCCCAAAGAGCCATCATGAACCTCCAGGCTGAGCTGCATGATCTCCAGTTGGAGAAAGATGTCGTGTCTGACCTGAGGTAAAAACAGATGATGTTTTCTAGATTGTTTTGACCCACAGGTTTTCTCACTTTTACACTGAAGGATTCAAATAAATGTGTTGATCAGATGGAGAAGATGTGCACGTTCAAAGAGGTGCAGAAAATCAAAGGTCTGAGTGGAACTTCATAGGAATTACTGGAGTGGTCTATAAAGGAGGCTTACCAAACTGAGCAATGCAGTGTGGAAGTTGAGCCATCAGAACTCCTGCTGAGAGTAGCCAAGAGGTAGTGGGAACACAGAAACTACAGAAGAAACGGTTTTCAGTGAGAAGAGAAAATTTGTTGAAAGAAAAAAACTATTTAGTGCCTTTATTAAATGTAAACGTGTTGTTTTTCATTTCTTTAAAACTAGTCAAGGATAAATGGAAGTGAAGAATATAATGGAGTGAATAAATATGTTTTAATGATTGAGATGAACTGATATGGGTTTTTTCTCTGTGTAGAGGTAATGGCACTGCTGATTTCTTTGGGACGGTTTGCATTGCTGATTATCCGCCATATCTGTAGGCTAAAATGTCTCTTAATACCGATGAATGCTCAACATTTCTGACCCTGAATCAGTTTCATTTATTTTGTTAGAACAATAGTTCAAAGCTGCCTTGTATTTTTGTAGCTAAATTATGACAAACTGTTGGTTATTAGAGCGATGTTACTCATTTCACTCTGAAATGCATCACTTTTGAGGCTACAAGGAACAAAAAGACAGCAGCTAACATTGTCACCTCCTGCCAGAATCTTATTCCACTCCCACTTCCTGTTTGAAAAATGCAACAAATACTGTTGCCTGGCAATAACAAACACACACAGGCTCACAACGACATTGTGACATCATATGGTGCCAGCTGATGTCATAAGGTACCTCTAAGCCAATAGCGATGGCAGATTTTAATTCAAATGCAGTGTAGAGTTTTTACGTGAACAACGCTAACTGTTTTCGGCAGACATTTTTTATTTTAACTAAGATGCACTTAAGTGCCAAATTATTGACTACACGTGTCTACAGCACGATTAGACACTCATTTATATAGTTTATCAGCAAAAAATGTTGATTTGCTCTTTAAACAACCGCTTTCATCACCGTGGAAACAACCTCCATAGCTTGTTTGGCTAATTTCTTACCAGCAAAAAATGTTGTCCTCTCACTAAATATTGAATATTACTTGATTTCACAGAACAAATGCAGCAAATATGGAGGAATCTGAAAAAAATGTTATGCTTCAAATAACATTTTGCACATTTTGTTAACTCTGTAACCTTACTCTTTTTTTTTTTTACTCCGTCAATACCTGTTGTTGTTTTCACTATGCTGCTTGCTGTCGTCACACCAAAAATTTCCCCACTGAGGGACAATAAAGTGATTTTCTATCATTTTCTTCTCGTCATTCCCAGGACGGAGGACCTGATTACAATTCTTGACCAGGAGGTGGCGATGTTGACCAACAAACTGAGTTCATCTAAAGACAGCGGAGTCAGCTTGTGTGCAAAGTTAGATCTGCTGAAGTAAGAGGCTATCACGAATTACTCCCACATGTTTCATGTGTTTGTGTTTCATTCACCAGAAGGTTTACAGAGCAGCTTGTTCTACTGGTGGAAGAAAACCTTCATGTTGGGCTACTGTGTGTGAACATTTTATGCTGTAATTATCTCCTAAAATTGTATGTTTAGAAAAGTGACAGAAAGGCAGACATCACTGCACCAGTGTCAGATCAGTGAACTCCAGTCAACCCTGTCCAGCTACAAAGATAAGGTAAACCTGCACTGGTTTCTACCTTCTTATTGACACCTGTCTTGTCTTTACTTCATTTAAATGTCAGTAAATTAAAGCTAGCCTAACAGTTAGCATGTTTCTGAAACTTGAAACAACTGTGCTGGAGTTGTTAGTCAAGTAAACACTTCTAATGCCAGAAGGACTCCTTCTGTATTTGATTTGGGATTCTTATTGGATGTTGCAGGTTTGTTATCTGGAAAAGAAGATCCTTGAAACTGAGACTCACCTCTTTAGCTCTTGGAGGGAAAGAGAACGATCTCTTCAGCAGGCAAAAGACCTTCAGTCCCAACTCGGTCAACATAAGGTGCTTTAGTGAGGAATGTTTACCCACAATCCCGTGTTTCTCCTGGGCCACGATCCTCAACATCTGCTTCTAGTTTTCAGTAGATGCTTCAGTGGCTATGGATGTCTTCAGAGGGCGCGTCAGTACAAATCTAAACTTTCTGAGATGCTAAAAGTGTGAATTCTTACTGTACTGATATTTGTTTATTATAATTTCACAAACAAGGTTGATTACGTTTAAGCAATAACAACAAAAAAACCTGCAAAATCTTTAAACAAATCCAAATGTGGACCACATCCTGGTACTTCAGCTGATCTTGGCGCCAGGCCTCTGATCAGCTGTTTCTCCTCTACTTATTTACTTCACACATCTCATACTTCCTCTGCTGCCTGTTCTGTACGCTGTTTAGCAACTCACCTCCATCCCTGCCTTTCTGATGCATGTGATCGAGCATCTTTTCTGATTCAATCAGTGTCTTCTCTGGCATTGATTTGGCTCTTTGGGTCTTATTGCTTTTCTGTCTGACTCAGACTTTCCTTGTTTGTTTGTGAAATAGCCGCGCGCATCAGAGCAAAGCTGTGCAGCCAAATTTAAACAATCTCTGCTCTGGGACAATAACTCAAGATGGTTGAAGTCGTGCTTTTCTAAATATGCACTTGAACACTTTATAGCTTACAAGAAGGTTTTTTATATTTTAGCTCTGCATACTTAACCCTAACCCATGCTCTCATTAGTTTTTAGGCTTTAATTCTCATCTCAAACTTAGAGAAATACATTCAGATCGTCTACAGGTGTCGTGGTTTAGTTTAATAATCAGTCAAATACCAGGTCTTATGTTAGAGGTTGGCTCAAACATTCAACTGTAGAATACCCAAAGGGGCATTTTAACTGTAGCTAAACCATATTTCTCTCCTCTTTTTTCCAAGGCCTGCTGTGAGCGGCAGCAACTTGATCTCCGTGAGGATGCCGAGATCCTGAGAGGACAGCTGGAGGTGGCCAGGGAGCAGCTATTCAAAGCTGGGGAGGAGAAAACCTGCCCACAATTCCTGCTGGAGCAGAAAGCCCAGGAGGTGAAGAAATTCCAGAAACTCCTGCAGGAAAAAGAGGAGGAACTTTGCTTCAGGCAGCATCAAACCCAGCAGGTAAGAAACCAGGAAAAGTGCGGATATCCTCTTAATTTTTTTCTCCCAACAATTTCATTTTTTGCAAGTCGTATGTTTGTTGGCAGTGATGATGACATTGAATTCATGTTCTTTTTCTTCTCAGCATCTTGTGAGTTTGGAAGATGCTCAGACTCGGTGTCGGACTTTGCAGACTGAGCAAGTAAACCTGCAGCTGAAGCTGAACGACAGAGAGCGGATGGGAAGCAGCACCCAGATGACACAACAACACAGACACACGATTGACAGCCTTCAGCAGGAGAACAGCCTCCTCATCAGCCAGCTCAACCAACACAAGCTGGAGATTCAGCAGCTCCGAGTCAGTCACCCTCACCTTCCTTCATGACTTTCCGTTCACATCTCTGTCTGACTGGCTTTATGATTCAATTTGACTGATCAGGCGGAGTTGGTCCAGCAGAAGTCCAACCTGGCTTCTGTGGAGCGTCACAGGGGACAGCTGCAGGCCTCTGTTACTGAGCTGAGTCAGTGTGTCGGAGAGGAGACTCTGAAGAAGGAGCAAGTCACCACGCAACTGGAGCTGCAGCGTGTGCAGTTAACCAGTTTAACCAGTAAGATCAACGTGTGTCATCAAAAAGAGGATTTTCTCATGTTTGTGTCACACAAAAAAAGCTTTGAACCACAAATCTAGAGTTTAATTACCACAAACGATGAGCTCATGCCGCCTCGAGGCATCCGTGTGCGTTTGACGTCATGTCACATCTTTCTAAATAAGTGGAAGTAAGACGTGGCAATGCTCCGATATCTCTGACCAGGAGACTTCAGCGGTCAAGCCGTCCATTTACCAAGAAGTAAAGTTCACGCCGCTTTTCCTAGAATGAGTCCAGCTCTCAAGAATGTATTTATTTATTTTGTCAGATGGAATTATCTTTTTGTCCAGCTGTGTTAAAAAAAGCTAAGAACTGTCTTTGGTGTGTTTATTTTGTCAACCAAGCCCTTCTGTTGCTGCTTGTGTTTTCTCTATGAACAAAGGGTTTTTCTTGGGATGTGACCCGTGTTTGTGTGGGCACCATTTCAGAGGAGCACGAAGAGCTGCAGCGGCTCCACAGCTGTAAAGATGATGAACATCAGGGTGTGGTGCTGAAGCTCCAGAGTCAGCTGAGCGGCGCCCATGATGAGCTCGATAAGATCAGACGCACCCTGAGGACCCTCCAAGGCGTGGAGAGAAACGGTTTGATCCACATTTGAGTTTCAAAATTAAAGCTACCTTAATTCCTCTTTAATGAAGAAAACTCTGAGAACAGATACCAGTCGACCGCTTACAAATGTAAACAGGAAGTTCAGTTAACTTTAATTTATTGTTTTAAATTCTTGTCTACGTCTTTTCACTTTGAGAGCTAATAGAGATTTCTTTTGACAAGTCATGATCCCAAACGTTCTCTTCTCAGGTCTTCAGGTTGCTTTGGACATGCAGAAGGAGATCACTGCCAGAAGAGAGCAGGTCGACTCTCTGCAGGGCAAAATCCAGCATCTGGAGGGGGAGGTGGAGAAACTGCAGCAGGTTAAATCGTTTATTTGTGTCTGTTGCATCATTTATGGTACATAATGTGGTTTAATTAATCAGAAATATCCATCAGAAAGCTAGGAAAGCATTACTTGTTTGTTTTGTTTCCTTCCATTCCAGGAAAAACGCCATCAAAAACTGGAGAGCCACCGTCATCTCCAGGAAGTCACATTCATCAGAGAGGAGAAGAGGCAACTCGCTGGTGAACTGAAGGCTCTTCGCTCCAAAGATCAACAGTTAAAGGAGAGGATCGATGAGCTGGAAGCAATCCTTCACAAGGTGGAATATTTACACAATCAAACACGTCCTGGCCAATAAATGCAACAAACACCACCTCCTCTGAACAAAAGCAGTCAGTGTCAATAACTGTTTTTGTTATTTACTTCTAAAGATGTCAGAAAGCTTTACAAACTGTCAGGATTTCCTCCAAGTGAGCGAGCAGGAATATTTCCGTTTGAAACTCCAACACGCTCTGGACTTGAAGGTAGAGTTCTCCACTAAATGTGTTTTTATTTTTAAAATCAAAGGCCGTCCGACTTGAAACCATTCAGATTTATCTCCTCTCCAGTTTTCCGAGTTATCTAAAACAGGGTATCCGCGGGTCCTTAAAAAGTCTTAAATTTGCTTTTCCAAATTTAAGGCCTTGAAAATCCTTAAAAAGGACAAATAATCCTTAAATCCAGTTTCCAGAGGTCTTAAATTACCAAAGACCCAATAAACAAGAATCTTTTATTTCTATAAAATTTTCGTGAATTTCTAGTTTGTGTTCAGCATTTTTTGTGTACGGTGTTGGCGTAAGCGGAACCGTACACGTTCAGTTGGTTGTGAAAGGGGGCTATTTTTAGATGAGCACATTAGCTGGTTAAGCTAGTGGGAGCTTGCGCCATGGGGAAGTGCAGTTTTAATGGTAACTGGATGGCTAATCCCACATTTGCGACATGGTTAGCACCGCTTCCAGGCAATAGCTGGAAATTATAGCTTGAATTTAATTTTAAAAATAGCTTAAATTTGGTCAAAGTGGCCTTAAAAAAGGTCTTAAAAAGTCTTAAATTTGGCTCCCTTACACTTGCAGATACCCTGTAAAAGGTCAAACATGAAACCAGTTTCATTTACAGCTACAGTGATTATGATTCTGCAGAAGTTTACCTGTTTCTGTGTCCCTAGATTTGACTGTCCAGCTATACGGAAAGCAAAATATATGTTAAGATACTATTTATTTCTGGAAAATTGACTTTAACACAGTTGTAAATGGATTTTTGTTTGCTTGATGATTTTTCTTGTAAAACACTCCTACGACCTGGTTTGCTTTATTATAGTTGATCATTTTATGGAGACTAACATGCTTATTTTTGAGTATTGTGTATTTATAATTTATAATAAAAACCACTTTTATGTTTTCTATAGGAGATCCAAGGTCAGAATTTCTCCGCTCCAGCTGATCTGGACTCCCACATTCCATCTTCACAGACGGCTCCACCCTCCTCCCAGATTAAGGTGCAGTCAGAACCTCCCCACATCCCTCATGGTTCGGTCCGTCGACTTCATGTGTGAATCATTTTTATTTGGCTGCACAGACACAAGCTCTGCTCATCTGCTTTAGTCTTTAATCAAAAACACAACACTGCATTCCTCCAGCAAGGAGGGAAAACTCAGATTGTAATCTCAACACAGCTGTGTAGGATTGTTTAATCTCATAGTGCCACTCTTCTGACACTGATGTGTTTATTGATTCAAACCTGATCAAATATTCTGTAGCTGATGATTACAGAGCACAATTTTACAAGATGTTCCCATATTTCTTGGTTTCTCGGATCAAAAGTGAGAAAATCTCTTTTTTAAACGTCTCTGTATCTTCTCGTTGCATTTGACTTTTCTTTCTCTTCTTTTGGCTCAAAGAAGCAGCAGGAGCATTCCACCTGCGAGCTCAGATCTATCGTCAGGCAGCTGCGAGGAGCGATTTCAGAGAGCCACAGCCCACACACCGATGAGAACGCGTCTGACTGCGGCTTCCACAGGAGGAGGTCCGCTCCAGAGAAAGAGCACAGAACCACATCGTACGTCTGGTTCCCTTCTCTCACTCACTGCAGGGATTAGCGTCTTACGTATAGCAGCTTAGGTCGCATTCTAAAACCATGTGATGCTACTGCTTGAGCAAGAAGCCACTGGAATGCAGGAGGAGGAGGGTGAATCCAAATGACTGGTTTTAATAACCACAAAGTGTTGCAACGTTCTGTTAATCATACCCAATGAAAATAATAAATACATATTTGCTTAGTTAAGTTCAAACCGTTCTCATAGTGTGACGTTTTCTTTCACTCTAGCAGCACTGAACAAGTTCAGTTTTGCTCCCGATTGAGGAGAGAGACCTGCGGCAGGTAGGAAGATCAGCCAAACCTGATTAGAATGATTTGCTTCTCTATTTCCTCCTCATACAACGTCCCATAAGCTGCTGCAGTCCAAGTAAAGTGCTGTATGTGCTTTCTTAAACAGTGAGCCACTTTTCCCGACAGCAGAGCCAAATGAGCGGTTAATCAGCAAAAGAGAGGGTGAGAATCAAAATTTATTTATATGTAACAATGTTCTTGTGTCTGTCTCCCATTTTTCTCTGAAAATGCACCATTCACCTTGTTCCAGTTATCTAAATCTATTTAAAATGTTATTTTAAAATAAGTTATAAAGGAATCAGACAAAGAAGGGAAGCTAAATTCTTACCAAAATAATAAGGACTCAGAATACAATAATGCTAATAAACCAATATTATTTATAATCATAAATTATGCATGCTTTGACTCTTCCAGGCCGTTGTAGATCAACCCCGGTAACTCCAGTGAAGTACACCAGCTTTCCTCAGATTCTCTCGCTGGGTCGTAAGTCACCAGTCCACACCCTCCTGACATCTGACCCAATCAGCTGACACAAAGTTTGACTGGTTTATTACCAACCTAACGCTAAGTTAACTGATCTTTATCAATTATGTTTGTTTAAGTTCCACAGATGAAGTGCGTTGTCAGAAGACGTTAATGTATTAAAATATTTGATCATGTATATTTTTTACCTTTTTAAATTAAATTACTGAAAATACATTGGTGTGTGAACTGGTTATTTATGTGTTTGGCGAGTTTTGTTTCTAACAGTCATGGCGTCCAGGACATGATAAAGACAAATCGTCTTCAGTTTGGTATTTGTCTTAAGAAAACATGAAAACAGTGTGTGGCACGTCACACAAAGTCATTCATTTACTAAAACAAAGTCCTAGGATTTGGGCTTCTGCAGTGATTGAGTCAAATGGGAACTTTTCTGGACATTAAAATATTCCAGAACCAATTGTTGCATCTGAACTAACCATCTGAGACACAAACAAGACCAAACAAATTAGTCTTTCAGCACAAACACCAGAACATCTGGCAGCACGGTGGTAGAGGGGTGATGATTTGTATAATTTTTTTGCACACTGGTGACTGTCACACAACTTAAAGGGATACTATGCAACTTTTTCAGATTTTTAAATCATTTTCTTGAGCCAGTATGTTCTAAAATGACCCTTTACACTGTAAACCTTTTCATTAGTCCTGGAAAGTTTACAGGGTTAATGAAATGTCCCTCAGACCCCGCTGCCCTCTGCTGCCAGAATATCTTCAGAGTTGCCGGTCCGGTCCCTGCTGTGGAGTGGAGCTGCAGTCTGGTTCCAACACGTTTCCAGCATATTTTAAATCATGAACGCAGCTGGTTTGATTTAGTGATGAACTGCTCCTCTCGAAACTAATGAAGGCTGAGAAGACATTTCAGCTGTTAGGTTAAGGTGTTAAAAAGACGAACTCACAGCAAGGAGATAACTAAGGGGTGCTAAAAGCAAGCAAAAATGTTACGCGTACCTTTAAATTGTGTCCTAAAATCACAGAAATCCAAACTAAAAAAGGTATTTCTCTAAGAAAAACGAATGAAAATGCTGGTGGTTTTGTTCACCTTATTTCAAGACTTGATAATAATTTAGAAAACATTAAGAAGAAGAAAATATGATTTCTATAGCGCCTCTCAAGATAAAAATCACGAGGCGCTTCACAAAAACAAAAAATGTTTAAATATAAAAAAGCATTTAGAAAATGTTTAAAAATATATTTAAAATGAGCAAAAATAGACAATTGTGATAAAAAAAACGGATACATAGGCTCATCTAACTGTGGACCCACCACCCGCAGGAGGAACATGAAGGGTCCGGTGCAATGTGGATCGGGTGGCAGACCAAGGCGGGAGCCTTGGCGGTCCGATCCCCGGACAAGAAAACTGGTTTTTGGGACATGGAACATCACCTCGCTGGCGGGAAAGGAGCAGGAGCTTGTGGCAGAGGTTGAGCGGTACCGGCTAGATATAGTCGGACTCACCTCGACACATAGCATTGGCTCTGGAACCCAAGTCCTTGAGAGGGGTTGGACACTCTCCTTTGCTGGAGTCGCTCTGGGTGAGAGGCAGTGGGCTGGGGTTGGCTTTTTGTTAGACCCAAGACTCTCTGCCTGTGTGTTGGGGTTTACCCTGGGGGACGGGAGGGTAGCTTCCCTGCGCCTTCGGGTCGGGGAACGGGTCCTGACTGTTGTTTGTGCTTATGGGCCAAGTATCAGTTCAGAGTACCCACCCTTTTTGGAGTCCCTGGGACGAATGCTAGATAGTGCTCCATCAGGGGACTCCATTGTCCTGCTGGGGGACTTCAATGCTCACGTGGGCAATGACAGCATGACCTGGAGGGGTGTGATTGGGAGGAACGGCCCGCCTGATCTGAACTCGAGTGGTGTTTCGTTATTGGACTTCTGTGCAAGCCGCAGTTTGGCCATAACGAACACCATGTTCGAACATAAGGATGCCCATCGGTACACTTGGTACCAGGGCAGCCTAGGTTGCAGGTCGATGATAGACTTTGTAGTCGTATCATCTGACCTGCGGCCGTATGTTTTGGACACCCGAGTGAAGAGAGGAGCGGAGCTGTCAACTGATCACCACCTGGTGGTGAGTTGGATCAGATGGCAGGGGAAGATGCCGCGTAGACCTGGCAGACCCAAACGCATAGTGAGGGTCTGATGGGAACTCATGGTAGAAGAACCTGTCAAGACGGTCTTCAACTCTCACCTCTGGCAGAGCTTTGACCGCGTCCCGAGAGCAGTGGGGGACATTGAGTCCGAGTGGGCCTTGTTCCACTCTGCGATTGTCGAGGCGGCTGTTGCTAGCTGTGGTCGTAAGGTGGCCGGTGCCAGTCGTGGTGGAAACCCCCGTACCCGCTGGTGGACACCGGAGGTTCGGGGAGCCGTCAGGCTGAAGAAGGAGGCCTACAGGACGTGGCTGGTCTGTGGGTCTCCGAAAGCAGCAGACAGGTACCGGATAGCCAAGTGGGGTGCAGCAGTGGCAGTTGCCGAGGCAAAATCTCGGGCATGGGAGGAGTTTGGTGAGGCCATGGAGAAAGATTATCGATCGGCTCCAAAGAGGTTCTGGCAAACTGTCCGGCGCCTCAGGAGAGGAAGGCAGCAACTCTCTCACACTGTTTACAGTGGGGATGGGGAGCTGCTGACGTCAACTGAGGCTATAGTCGGACGGTGGAAGGAATACTTTGAGGAGCTCCTCAATCCCACCTATGCGCATTCCGAGGAGGAACCAGAGCTGGGAGACCTGGGGATGGACTGTCCAATCTCGGGGTCAGAAGTTGCTGAGGTAGTCAAACAACTACACAGCGGCGGAGCCCTGGGGGCGGATGAGGTTCATCCTGGGTATCTCAAGGCTATGGATGTTGTAGGGCTGTCGTGGTTGACACGTCTCTGCAACATTGCGTGGTCATCGGGGGCAGTTCCTGTGGAGTGGCAGACCGGGGTGGTGGTCCACATCTTTAAGAAGGGTGACCTGAGGGTGTGTTCCAGCTATAGGGGGATCACACTCCTCAGCCTCCCTGGAAAGGTCTACTCCAAGGTACTGGAGAGGAGGGTCCGATCGATAGTTGAATCTCAGATTGGGGAGGAGCAATGTGGTTTTCGTCCTGGCCGTGGAACTGTGGACCAGCTCTATACCCTTGCAAGGGTGATGGAGGGGGCATGGGAGTTTGCCCAACCAATCCACATGTGCTTTGTGGATTTGGAGAAGGCTTATGACCGTGTCCCCAGGGGCACCCTGTGGGGGATGCTCCAGGAGTATGGGGTGGGTGGCTTTCTGTTAAGGGCCATTCAGTCCCTTTACCAGAGGAGCATGAGTGTGGTCCGCATAGCTGGTAGTAAGTCGGACCTGTTCCCGGTGAGGGTTGGACTCCGCCAGGGCTGCCCTTTGTCACCGGTTCTGTTCATTACCTTTATGGACAGAATTTCTAGGCACAGCCGTGGTGTGGAGTGTGTCGAGTTTGGTGGCAGGAGAATCTCGTTTTTTCTCTGCTTTTTGCGGATGATGTGGTCCTCCTAGCTTCATCCAGATCTGACCTTCAGCTATTGCTGGGTAGGTTCGCAGCCGAGTGTGAAGTGGCTGGGATGAGGATCAGCACCTCTAAATCTGAGACCATGGTTCTCGACCGGAAAAGGGTGGCTTGCCAACTCCGGGTCGGGGGAGAGGTCCTACTTCAAGTGGAGGAGTTTAAGTATCTCAGGGTCTTGTTCACGAGTGAGGGTAGGAGGGATCGGGAGATTGACAGGCGGATTGGTTCAGCATCTGCAGTGATGCGGACACTGAGCCGATCTGTCGTGGTGAAGAGGGAGCTGAGCCAGAAAGCCAGGCTCTCGATTTACTGGTCGATCTACGTCCCAATCCTCACCTATGGTCATGAGCTTTGGGTAATGACCGAAAGAACGAGATTGCGGATACAAGCGGCCGGAATGAGTTTCCTCCGTAGGGTGGCCGGGCTCAGCCTTAGAGATAGGGTGAGGAGCTCGGACATTCGGGAGGGACTCGGAGTAGAACCGCTGCTCCTCCGGATCGAAATGAGCCAGTTGAGGTGGTTTGGGCATCTGGTCAGGATGCCTCCGGGACGCCTCCCCGGGGAGGTGTTTCGGGCATGTCCTGCCGGCAGGAGGCCCCTGGGTCGACCCAGGACACGTTGGAGAGGTTACCTCTCCAATTTGGTCCGGGAACGCCTTGGGGTCCTGCCGGAGGAGCTGGTGGAGAAGGCCGGGGAGAGGACGGTCTGGAGCTCCCTAGTTGGAATGCTGCCCCCACGACCCGGACCTGGATAAGCGGAGGAAGACAACGACGATTAAAAAAATATTAAGAAAGAGAGAGAGTGAATAGGAAAGAGGGAAATCAGTGGATCCTGAGGAAGGTGGAATAGGTGGGGAGAGCAGAATAGAGAGTGGTGAAGAAGGTCATACAAAAGCCAGCTTGAACAAGTGAGTCTTCAGCTGCTTTTTGAAGAAGTTCACTGAGTCCACTGATCTCAGGCCCAGGGGGAGAGAGTTCCAGAGTCTGGGGGCCACAGCAGCAAATGATCTGTCACCTTTGACCTTTAGCCTGGTGAGTTGCACAACCAGTAGGCTTTGATCACTGGACCTCAGGGATCTGCTGGGGGTGTAGGGACTAAGGAGATCACCAATGTAAGATGGTGCTTGTCCATGTAAGGCCCTATAGACCAGAACCAGGATCTTGAAATGAACCCTGAAGTTGACTGGCAGCCGGAGAAGCGGGGTGATGTGGGTGTGTTTGGCAGACTTGGTCAGAAGCCGAGCACAGGCATTCTGAACCACCTGTAGACGGTTCAGGGAGGTTCTGCTCAGACACGTGAAAAGAGAGTTACAGTAGTCTAAGCGTGAGGAGATGAAGGTGTGGAGAACTGTCTCAAGTTCAGAGCGAGACAGAATGGGACTCAGCTTAGCAACATTCCTGAGATGGAAGAAGGAAGAGCAAACAAAAGAACTGACATGAAAATCCAGGGTGAGAGCTGGGTCAAAGGTCACACCAAGATTCCTGACAGAAGGTTTGATGTGGGAAGCAAGCTGGCCAAGAGAGTCTCTGACTTTGGGAACCAGCTTGTCTGGGGCACAGATGAGGATCTCAGTCTTATCTTCATTCAGCTGAAGAAAGCTCCCACCATCCAGGCTTTGATAGGGTCTAAGCAGGTGTGTAACAGCTGC